AAAGAGGCCGAGAGGTTTAACTGGGTCGGGACTTAGGACAACCATACATGTAGCGCTAACAGGAAGGGAATATCAGTTTCAGACTGCAATACAACTGCAAGTCTACAGCCATGCTAGCACCTCTGTGAGGCTGCATTTAGGCACATTGCTGCTTTGAGATAACTGCTAATGTTAGGATGCTAAAATTAGCACAGTGAGAAAGCTGATTGTTACGCAGATATAATGTTTTCCAAGTTCATTATCTCAGCTTGCTAGCATAATAACATTTATAAATCAGTACTATACATAAAGTAAAACTGTGGCTGATGAGAAATTTGTTTTGCAGGTATTGGCTCATGAAGTCTTGGACAGCTTAAGAAAAAAGGTATCCTATAAGTTAATAAATGACCAAAGTTACTATATTTCACCCTGTCAACATGGATGTGTAAGCCAAATTTAACAGCAATCAATCCAGCAGTTTCACTCAGAACTGCACATACAGTACGTATGAACCTCACTGTGGCACTAGAGGAAAAGTCATCAAGATGCATCCTCCTTGAAACATGTCTGTACAAACAATTGTTCCAGGTCATATAGTACATATTGAAATATTTGTCTGGATATTCAAAAACTCTGAGCTGCTGCGAGTACTGCAGGAAAGAGCCAGGGGATCACAAAGTCAATATGCAACTACTTATGCAGCTGTGATCATTTGAGGCTTTTGCTGACACGAAGTAGAACGACACTGTGGTCATCACTGTGGGCATATGAGATTAACTTCTTCCCTCTCATTTATGCACAGTACTGACTCATTCAGATTTGTCCAGCTGTTTGTTTACACATCAAGATACATCTGTACAAACTGCAGTAGCAAGATATCTGGCACCCAAGTGTGAGATAACTGATGTAGGGATAGTAAAAAAAAAAAAACAAATTGCACAGAGAGATGAAATGTTTTCTAGAAGTTTAATAGCCAACTGTGAAAATCTATCAGTGAGATTTCACACAATTGATCCATAATCAGTGTGACTGAGCATAGCCTATCAATGAGTAAACAAATAGATAAGATTCAAAAGGACAGCAAATCAATTTGCAGTGACACAGACAAAATTAAACACAGCAAGGATTAAATTCTGGTGGCCATGCTTGATGTTTACATTTAATGTGATATTTTATGAAGCATGAAAACAGCCCTCTGTGTACTTGTTACAGAGTTAGTTATGTAGCTGTTAGACTCACAGGCTGGTATATATAGTTTATTCTCTTACGTCATGGTGGGAGAAAAACTATTATGTTGTGGTTGCATTTACAAGTGCAGACATTTGTAATGTGGTCATTTTGGCAGTCGATGCACACAAATCAGCTTACAACTATTAATAAGCAGCTCTGGTCCATTTGCTGTGCTGCCTGTGTTCCTGCACTGACACAGCGCTGTGATATACAGTTTGCTTTTGCCAGCCATGAGGGCAGCTGTTGAACTTGGCATTAGACCAGAGGACAGTCATTTCTCTTCTCTGGCTGGACGGACAAGTGCTGGAAAAAGTATGTCTCTCCAGACTCCACTGATGGACTGTTGCAGAATCAACAGGGATACGCTGTCAATTTTCCGCTTGATGCCGGGCCATTAGAAGACAGAGTGCTGGCCATTTGAAATAGACAGCATAACAGGTAATACCTTCGGAGGTGATAGTGAAACTAAGGAGAAGAATTGGGGAGCAGCCAACCAGCTATTCATCATTAGTCTGGCCTGTTTGTGACACTGTCAGCTATGCTCTTCTTTGCCTGACCGCCTCCATCTCCTCTCTCCTACACCTCTTCTCTTTGAGGAGGCAGCAGTCACAGCAATAAACAGGGATTCCTGAAATTCCCCCTTTATCAAATTTTAATTAGGGAATTACCAAGTGGGTAAAGAAGTTTTGGGATTTGATGGAAAGAGGACAAGGGCCACTTACTGTTGTGAGACATATGTTATCCTGTCATTTTAGTGTCATACCAGCTGAACATAAACATGGAAATCTCTCATGGGAAAGGATCAAAGGGATTTTACCAGAGACTGGATGCAATTTCAGAATAAAAGGATATCTGAGAGATCTTTGTTTATGGAGGCAAAATATGCATCATCCAATGATAAACCTGTCTCGGAAACAATCAAAAGGTATTATTCAAATGCAACAGATGCTACCACATTTTATGTATGCATGTATTCAA